CAGGTTGAGTTGTACATTTCAGAATTTATGTGTTTTACTATCCTTGTACCACAATTTTCATTTAATTACAGTTACTTGGATGTGTTTTTTACCCCCCTAAGATCATTTATATTTGAAGACACAACCACCTACTGGCATACTTTCACAATCTCAATGAATCTGCCATAACTTTACATCTTTATATCATATTCTAAAAGAGAGTCAGTTAGGAGAATATCCAACATTCCTTTTTTCACCCCAGTCTCACAGATTAACACTTCTGTCCATTTAACTTTTACTGGTATATAACTCTAATCCTCTTTGTTCTTCTTCTCTGCACACTTTCTAGAGTCTCAACATCTTTTTTATAGCATAGGCCAGATAGCTGTTCTGGGCAGGCAGCCATTCTCCAAGATTTATTTAAAATCTATTTTTCAGTTCTTGCTGTCGTCAACCCCAAAAAGCTGAGGATTATTTTCATACAAAGCAAAGTGTAACGGTAAAGGTTTCCCTGTACATATGTGCTAGTCGTTCCTGACTCTAGGGGGCGTTGCTCATCTCCGTTTCAAAGCCAAAGAGCCAGTGCTGTCCGAAGACGTCTCCGTGGTCATGTGGCCGGCATGACTAAATGCACGGAACGCTGTTCCCTTCCCACCAAAGGTGGTTCCTATTTTTCAACTTGCATTTTTTACGTGCTTTCGAACTGCTAGGTTGGCAGAAGCTGGGACAAGTCACGGGAGCTCACTCCGTTACGCAGCACTAGGGATTCGAACTGCTGAACTGCCGACTTTTCTGATCGACAAGCTCAGGGTCTTAGCCAGCAAAGTGTACTGATATTCAAACACATCTCAAAGTGTTCCTTTTTCTTAACAAACTGGCTCAAGAAAAGAATCTCTGGTTGGTTAACCTTGGCAGAGAAGGCAGGAGACTCGATTGGTGCCAATCACCAGCCTGATTCCCTAAATACCAACCTTTTCGTCCCACTCAGCCATGTGCGGCGCCATCTCCTTGGCAGCAAAGTCGAAAGCCACTTTTTGAAACTCCTGCTGCTCTTCCGTCAGGCCCATGGCAGCTGGAGAGGCCAGGAGAGAATCAGCTCGCAAAAGGTGGAAAAGCAGGGGACCCTACACCATTTCTGGAAGGAAGGAAGGAAGGAAGGAAGGAGGGGGGGGGGGGGGAATGTGGGGGTGGGAGGAGGGGGGGGAGGGAAGAGAAACCCCAACTCTGAGAATGGAGGGAAACGTCTTGGATGAGAAGCAAAACGTTTTGAAAGAAAACACCCAGGGGTTTTTGGAAGACAAAACCCCTTTGGGACAACCGTCGCTTGGATGATTGAGAATCTCCATAGAGACCCCCAAATTCTCTTTTGGTCTTTCACCCCCATCCCTCCCTCCCTCCTGCTCGCTTATCAAGAGACATTTTGGCCTCAGTTGTGGTCATAACTCAAGGACTACTTGTAGATAAGGTTTGCAGATGTTTTATGACCCAACTAGCTAATATCATTACCCTTCCTTTCTCCCTCCCTCCCTCTCTCCATACTCTATTCCTTCCTTCCTTTCTTCCTCACTCTTTCCCTCCTTCCTTCCCCCCTTCCCTCCTCATGTGCTATTCCTTCCTCCATCCCTTCCTTCCTCCTTCCTTTCTCAAGCTTCCTTCCCTCATTCCTTCCCTTTTTCATACTCTATTCCTTCCTCCCCCCTTTCCCTCCTTCCTTCCTCATGCTCTATTCTTTCATTCCTCCCTCCTTCCTCCTGCTCTATTACTTCCTCTTTCTTTCTTTCTTTTTCTTTCTTTCTTTCTTTCTCTTTCCTTTTTCTTTTCTCATTCCTTCCTTCCCCCATCCCTCCACCAAGGGGCAGTTACTTTGAGCTTCTTTCTCCCCCCCCCCTTTTCTTTTTACAGAGCAGGCAATCTTTTGTACAAGTTGCCCCTTAACAGTTTGCCCCAACCTTCCCCCAATCTTCTGTCTTCTGTCCCTTTACAAATTCAACCTGGCTTTGGGGACCAGATCTGGAAGTCTCTCCTGCAACTAGGACAGCCTTTTCACTTTGTGCCGAAACTCAACAGGTGAAGCAGACTGCCCCTCCCCAAGAGAGGCAAAGAACTTTTCCCATAGGTTTGAAGTGGGCAGAAGTGCCTGAAAGAACCACCAGGGGCCTTTTCCTACTAAGGCTTCCGTCCATCCCTGGGCTAACAGCTGTCAAACCTGGGTGCTCTCCCCAGCCGGGCACATTCAGAATAACCAAGTGGGAAGGGACCTTGCAGGTCATCTAGTCCAACCCCCTGCCCAAGCAGGAGACCCTACAACCAAGAGCGCCTTCCTCCCAGCCCAACGATCGACCCTTCTCCAACCTGACCCATCCCCTCCCACCTTGGGGTTATCAATGTCATTAGGCAGTCTGGGGATGATGGGAACTGTAGTCCAACTTCACCAAGAGGGCTTCGGGTTAGAGAAAAGGCTACAGCGGGGGAACTCCTGCCCAGGCGAAAGCACGACCTGTTGGATGTCCGCCTGCAGCGCTAGGCAAGCCAACTTTGCAATAGTTCTGCAATAGGCAAGGAAGGTGGAGGGGGGTGTCCTTTCTGCTCCCCCCTTCCACAATTCACTCTATCTTCTCCCCCCCGCGCCCCAGAGGCTTACGGTCTATGCAGGAGGCAACCCCTCTGCGCCCCCAGGCTCGCTTCGGGGCAGAGCCGCCTAGCCGGAGCCCCAACCTCAAACAGCCCCTCCAAGCCATTGCAAAGCGGCTTCGCCAGTCCTCTACGGCTGCGGCTAAGGGCGGCCGCATGGCCTTGTGGGTGTCGTAGTCCCCGCCCCTCCAGCAGCCTCTTCAGCCTCTACCGGGGAAGCCCTTCCAGGTGGACTACCAATCCCGAAAGCGCTCGCGGCGGAGCGGCTGGGTTTACGGGTGTGGGCGTCTCCGGATCGGGGCTTTCGGATTGGTTGAAGGGAAGGGGGCTGGTCTTAAAGGCACAGCGGCGCTTTTGCAAGGAAGGACTTTTTGCAAGGACTCTTCCAGCTGGTGCTGGGGACGGAGAGCCGAGAAGGTCGTAGGCGCATTTCCCCCTTCTTCCGGGCGATTGTTTCTGCAGCATTCACGTACACGGGAAGCCTCTTCTCAAACGAAGGCATGCAGCTTTGGTCCCCTTCTCCCTCCCCTTCTCTTCCTCATCTTCATCTTCCTTCCTTCCTTCCTTCCTTCCTTCCATCCATCCATCCATCCATCCATCCATCCATCCATCCAGCCAGCCAGCCAGCCAGCCAGCCAGCCAGCCAGCCAGCCAATCAGAAC